CCCGGCCCCGCTGCGGCGCGGGGACCCCGCTCCCCATCGCTGCGGACGGCGGTTCTGGAGGGGTTGGGCGCTGAACCCCGCGGCTGGGAAAGCCTCTACTTTGCCGTGCCACTTGGCACATGGTAAAGAAAAGCCCGAGAAGTCGTTTCCATCGAGTGCCGCGTGTGACATTTTTGCACGAAAGCCTCTGCAGAAGGTAATTGTCATTTTGTGAGTAATAGCTATAAACTGTAAAGCACGGACCTGCTTTTTATGAGGCTTCAGCGCAGACTCCCAAGCTGCATTCCCTCGTCACGGGAGTAATAAATTCTGCTCCGGGTTGCAGAGCCCCTTCCATACAGCGCACTCGCTTTCAACGTGTGCTGCTGGAGCTGAAAGCAGCATTGGCAAAAGATGGCACGCTGCTTTATCACGGAGTTAATATGGGTCGGTGACATTTCACGCACATTTTGCAGATGCAGGGAATGGCAAGGAGCTTCCCCCATATACGATTTGCGTTTCTGTTTTCACTTAGTGAATAAATCGTGTTCCCTGCCAAGTTCTTAGAGTATCATATAATGCTGATGTACCCTTCACACTATTTCATAACAGGCACATCGCTTCACCAAAGTTTCATTGTTAAATCATACATTCATAGGTAGCAACTCAGATTTTGACATTGCTTTTGTCAGTGCCCTTTCCCCAGATTCATTTGTGTCAGGCTAGATGTGGACATTTTTTGTTCTGCTTTTATTGACTACACTTTGCTGGCCGCTTTCTCAACAGCAGTGATTGAGCGTACCCATCCCTCTTTCATGAAACATTGTGGCTAGTGCAGCATTCAGCAATAACGTTCACTGCTCCGAGCTAGCATGGTGATGCCTAATTCCAAAGCTTTACATCGCCTGTCTGCAAGAGAGATGATAGACTTTAAGTTTGAGATCTGCTCTAATCAGCAAACCAAGTTTTTATCAGCTAGGCTGATTTTGGGAGGAGTGACCTAGGAGCAAGAAAAAGCATCCCAGGGGTAGGACTAGCATGTGCTGCAGCAGAGGTGCTACCCCCGTGTGCTTTCTCTGCCCCAGTCCCTCCTCCCTGTAGTGCCAGGGTAGTCCGGGACCATCAGGGTGTGCATGGGCACCGGAGCGAGCAGGACGGGTCAGCAGGGAGGGTTTGGAACCAAGCTGGTA